TGGTCAAGCATGATTTCCCTTTGGTGAATCCATGCTGACGTGGTCAAGCATGATTTCCCTTTGGTGAATCCATGCTGACGTGGTCAAGCATGATTTCCCTTTGGTGAATCCATGCTGACGTGGTCAAGCATGATTTCCCTTTGGTGAATCCATGCTGACGTGGTCAAGCATGATTTCCCTTTGGTGAATCCATGCTGACGTGGTCAAGCATGATTTCCCTTTGGTGAATCCATGCTGACGTGGTCAAGCATGATTTCCCTTTGGTGAATCCATGCTGACGTGGTCAAGCATGATTTCCCTTTGGTGAATCCATGCTGACGTGGTCAAGCATGATTTCCCTTTGGTGAATCCATGCTGACGTGGTCAAGCATGATTTCCCTTTGGTGAATCCATGCTGACGTGGTCAAGCATGATTTCCCTTTGGTGAATCCATGCTGACGTGGTCAAGCATGATTTCCCTTTGGTGAATCCGTGCTGACTACTCCTGATCACCTTCTCGTCCTCCACATGCTTAGAGATGGCCTCCAGGATGAACTGTTCCATCACCTTTCCAGGGATGGAGGTGAGGCTGACTGGCCTGTAGTTTCCTGCCTCCTCCTCCTTGCTCTTTTTGAAGACTGGAGTGGCATTGGCTTTCTTCCAGTCCTCAGGCACCTCTCCTGTTCTCCATGACCTTTCAAAGAGGACAGAGAGTGGCCTAGCAGTAACCTCTGCCAGCTCCCTCAGCACTTCATATCAGTGTACAGTTGCTGTTTTGATTAATAACGTATTTCTTCTTTTAAATTATATCAGTGTACAGTTGCTGTTTAGATTAATAACGTATTTCTTCTTTTAAATCTCATTGATATTTATCATATAGCCTACTTGCGCAGTTGTTTTGAAGCTCTTGTAGATGGTTCATAATTACTGCAAAACTTTTTTCTCTAATATTTTAGATGGTTGAAAATCATATTGAAATTCTCTTCCTTTGATATTTCTCCAGCTAACAATCTGCACTGAACTGTCTATTCAGTTATAGGCTACAGATGTTATGAACCTTTCCATTCTAACTTCCCCAAACTGCAGTTCTGACCTCATCTTTCTAGACAAATCCAAGATTACACAGATTTTGGCAACCTATTTTTATTATTAGTGGTAAAACAGCAATGATGTTAGCTGTTTTGGGGTCTGTTTGGCTGGTTAATCAAGTCAATATTTTTCATTCGTAAATTAATTGGCTGCAATTTTTTAAATTGTTTTTGTGTAGTGCAAGTTTGGTATGTGGTATTTGCATGATGCAGTAGTCGTTGTTTAATTTCTGCATATAAATGTCATATGTTTCCAGCTCAAACTGTTGTTGGCAAATGAATGTATTGTTGTGCCAAAAAAAATGATTTTATGAGATGCATGGATTACGGCTCAGCTGTTTGTGGTATTACTCCACCCACTGAGTGATCCTGGAGAATTGTTTGACCTCCATGTGTGCCTGGGAGTTGCATTTAAAAATTGCCATTCATACTCCTAGTGCAGGAGCTAAAATTTCCTCAGAGTTATTTGAAGATTTCTGTTTCATTCCCACTACTAGTCACACTGTTGACAGACCTATGCATTTTTCTTGCCCTCCCATCATGTCCAAACATGAAGCAAAAGAATCCTTTTTGTGTTTAATGTGTGTGATGTAGACAGGGGCAAATACTTTTATGGAGTACTGTGGTTTATCCCTTAAGACATACTCTGCGCATCAACAAGACAAGGAACACTGTCACATGCAATTACTTCTTGGATATGGACAGAGAAGGAAGGGGAAATAAGAGAGAAATTACTGAAAGAAAGGACTTAAAAAGCATAGGAAAAGGAAAGCCCATGATTTTCTTTTAGGCATAGAAATGCTCCTAGGGCCTTTGTGATTAAATAGTACAGACTAAGAAATGTCAAGATGAAAATGTGGTTTGTGGCTGTGGTGTTTCATGGGAGGTGTTTGGGGGTATTTCATGCCTTACTTTACAGGAAATTTCAGAAAAGCTCAGAGAAAGAGCAAGTAACAGTATAATGTTGGACTTTTTTTTGACCAACTGTTAATCATTTTCTCCTTTATGTATTTTTTCCAAATATATTTTTGTCTCTTTGCTTGGGCTGCCTGCTCCTGCTCTAGTTTGTTCCCAGTCTCTATGAATTTTCTGTTCATACAGTCTTTTCTCTAAGCATTTGCTACTAGTCACTGTCAGGAGAAATCACCTAAATATACCCCTGCCCCAATCTGTTATTTCCATTCTTGTGCTCTTATGTTACAGTTTTGCAGTTGCAATTAATATCTATTCTACCAGTTCCTCAGTTTGAGTCTCTGAAAACGCTGACCATATAGAAAATCCTGCTGGGTACCTGCTAGTTTATCACTTTTTCAGGTGATAAAAAAGTCATGGAACTTCTGAGATCACACCGAATACTTAAATCCACAGTGAAACCTTTATTTGCAAGACAGTTGTTGAGACACAATCCCTTAGAGTCTCCATGTTGATGGACACTTTACTAACAGTAAAGTAAACTGGACTTATAGACTCTACTGAGAGATTTCACCCTTAACTTTGGTTTCTACTGAACAGTTGTCTTTAATCTATCACTGCTACTCCCGAGTATTAGCTTTGATCCTAAGAGGGACACTTTGTGATCTGTTTGGCAGTCCCCACAGCCTGTGATCTTATCTACAGCAGTTAGGCCACTGCTTGTGGTCCTCAGTCTTACTCCATTGCTTTTCCAACTGCTAACCTCTTGCTGACCACAGAGGTCAGAGACCTCTCACCCAGCCTTCCTGCTATACTTTTCATGGACTGTCTTTTGTGCCGTGACCTTGGCCTACCTCTAGCTTTTTTTTTTTCCTGAACACTGACTCTTTGTCTGCAGAAATTAACCTAACATAGTTTATAAACTCATTTTTTCCAGCTCAGCTTTTCTCCATTAGTTGTACTGCCAATAACAGCTGTTCTGTTGTGGTTCCATTATCTGTCCTTTTTAGTCATTCCCAGTGGTTCCATTCTGTACTGAAAAAATCCCCCAGAGTTTGAAAGGAGGAGGAGGAGGAGGAGGAGTTCACATAATGCTGGCTACTACCTATGAGAGATTTTTTTTTCTTTTGGCACTTCTAAAGGTTTCTAGAAAATGCCCCACCTAGTGAATATTTCTGGCCAAATGGGAATCTCATCTGTATTCCATCTTCTAAGGATTATCCTTTAATAAGTAAGATAATGCTTAAGATATTCCCAGGAACAGGAATGAGTAATATACTGTTGTATTGCTATAAAGTTTTGAAAAGATGATCCAAAAGAGATGGCTAAATTATTGAGCTTATCAGTAAAGCAACATTAAATAGATTGATAATCTTAATAATGGGGAACATGAAGAGATACAATGACTTACAGCACGTTTTTGCTTAAGGATTCTTAGGCCTTCCTACCATCCTTAATATTTTATGAATATTTCATTTATTTTAATTTCATGTTGGTGTAAAATTTTTCTGAGTGGTCTGTATTACACTTTTTTTAAAAAGGATTTGACTTTTTGGGCTTCTGGCTGAAGCACCAGCGGAATCCGTGAACTCCATGATTCTGTGCAGAGCTTTAAAGGATCAGTTTTTGTCCGTAGAGCGTTCCAGAACATCCATGATAGCTAACAGATATTTAAAGTTTTGGCCCTGAATCTCTATCCTGCACTTACATATTTCTTACTGATCTAAGAGTAGTAGTTTGATTTAGGACTAGAGCTGGGAATACCAAAGTTTTATTCCATCATCTCCTTCTTGTCCACCATGTTAGCTTGGGGACTTATTTATTCATCCCATCTCTAAAAAAAGACAGTATAATACCTATCTTTAAGAGACACTAATTCTGTTAGTTTAATATTAAATGGCACGGAGATTTAAAAACCAGAAGTATTATGTAAAAGCAAAGTACAGCAATTCAGTAAAAACAGCTTTTTTGTAAGGCAACATTTACCCACTATATTATATAGTAAGAAATTATGTATTTAGAGGTATTGTCTGTTTAGCTAGGGAATTTGTATGGCCCTATTGCAATAATATTCGAATGCATCGCAGTCTTTAATGAATGTATTCTTGTAAGACCCTGGTGAGATAAGGAGGTACTATATTCCGCATTTTACAGTTGAGTCATGGATGGGGGGAATTTGAGAATCCCACACCTTTAGTGAGCGCTCAAAAGCATACTTACCTTCAGCTGGGATGGGCACCTGCGTGTGGAATGCAGACCACAGCAGTCCTCATGGGTTCCACTTCATCTAGAAATGTTGTCATGTAACTTACATCAAACTGACGTGACAGCCTAAAACACTTCCTAGAAAGACTTCAGCACTGCTACTCCAAAAGCCAAAGAAGGCCGATACAAGCATTTGCAGCTGGGTTTTGGGAACCTACTGTGTCTTCGTTATTCCTATTTTCTGACAACTCTATTACGGAAGAGGCAGAGGCTGCGTTATGCACTCAAGACTGAACATGAACAGCCGTAAATAAGCTAGTAGAACCCAGTTCTGGGTTTGTATCCTAATCAATATAACAACAGTCATTCCTGTTATTCTAGAACTGTATTTAAGATAAGTCTTCAGTTCGATTTTTCATATACAATTAAACAACAGGAAGCTGATACAAAAATCATAGAAATGTCTTCTGGGAGTATTTCAGGAAACTGGTAGATATAAAGTACTGGCAATACATTCAAGGAAAATGTGTCTTGGTCACAATCCTGCAGCAAATTCCTGTCAACACATAAGCCATGTTTGTGCATAAAACAGCTCCTCCCCGCCACAGCTCTACATTTGTATCTGTCCATCTCTATTGCAAAGTTTCAGATAATTGCCAGAATATTTCACAAGCATTGTCCTGAGCAAATTGTCAGAAACAATAACTTTCTGAGGGATGCTGTATAACTAATGCCATTCTGTAATTATTAACTGTAATAAAAAGAAATGGTTGTAGGCAGATACTCTTATGAACAATCTGTATAGTTAATGAAAAATGTAAACAATGATTTTTTTTGTGTCAGAGTATCAAATATTTGAATCTACTAACAAAAAAGTTTCCCTTATTAGCCTATCACAGTGACAATTACACCATGCTTCTTTACTGTTTGAACTGATTGTTCTTTGTGTCGTTCCCATTCCTCATCATCTTTGTCCAGATCAAAATTTTCTGGATAAATGGTCAGCTTGTCTTTTGGGCACTCCTCATAATAACTTCGAACATATTTTCCAACAGACCATCCTTTGTATTCCTCAGGCATTTTGCATTCTAGGCCATTGTAGTGAACATTGTAGTGATGCTTCAACCAGTAGAAAAGGTAATGAATGTTGTAATCACATCTCCAAGGATTCTCTCTCAGCCACAGTATTTTCAGAAAGTAAAGATCTTCCAGTACCCCATATTCAAAATTTTGCAAGCTGTTGTTTGATAGATCCAGCTCCTCTAAGTTAATGAGCCCTGAGAAAGCAGCTGGACAATAGAAAAACAGTTATTGGTACTTCATAAAGACTAGTTAGACAGTTGTTATCGACAACAGGAAAAACATTTTCTTGGTTATAAAAAATAAATATCCATACATTGATTAAAATGTTTTTTTGTAAAGGCTATACTAAAGACTTTTCAAAAACTGAACTTTGAAGTATGGGTTATACCCTGAAAAGCATCATATATTGTGGTAAATGTGTCAACAATATGGAGTTGTACTGCTGGTAGTTACGACTAAGTGTGAGAGTAATATAAAGACGGTGAAGCTGGACAACATTAGTGAACAGTTGATTTGCTTGTAGAACTCTATTGTTGATGTGATACAGAGGTGGAAGTATGTGAATTTCTTAAATCTTTGAAAATGTGCAGGTCTGCTAGTGTTTATATATATATATATATGTATATATGCATTTGCGTTTGTGTATCTAAGACCTTGAAAATGCAATTAGAATAGGCTCCAATTTTTGCTTCATTCTTCCAGTCTCGCTCCCCTTATCTCTACTTTCGTAATTAGAAAAAACGTAATAGATATACACAATAAGCAAATTGCGAATGCAGTGCTACTTGAGTTCTAATATTAAATAATTTAAGAGCAATCGTATATAATGATTTTGAATGCAAAAGGGTTAAAATCCTTTTAGTTTGTCTATTACTTTACCACCCAATATAATTTAAAAGCAACCATATTATATGACACTCTTCATCAGAATTTGCAAAGATATTTAAAAAGTCATTCAACTCTTTAGCATTTTGGGAAATGATTAGCCTACCAAGTTCAATTTTTTGCACTTGGTTGACTTAGTATTAAAAAATGGAAACTGAAATTTGTTTCTGTTCTTGACTGCAGCGATTAATACATTTCAGCACAAAACCAGGCTGTAGGAGTTGAGTACTACAAAGGGTGAAATTTGGATCAACTTGTTAATTTTCAAATCTTTTTTTCCTCACATTGGTATATGATAGAGATATTCCCAAAATAATATATAATTAATACAACACACACAACTTTTTTATGAATATGTAAAATTATTCTTACCAGGATCAATGTAAGTTAATCCATTACTGTTTAGGTTTAATATCTTCAGTTCACTGACATCTTCAAACTCTTTGACTCGCAGTTGTCTAATTTTGTTGTTGGATAAATCGAGTTTAACTATATCTGGAGGTATGTTACCTGGAACTTTCTTTAAATCTTAAAAAATGAGAAAGAAATATTTTGCATCAGCTTTAGATTATTTTTGCTGTTCACATATCACAGTTGCCTATCGCACAGAGCTACTGAGAAAAAATGACCAGTTTATTGTGTCTTCAGAGATAAATCAGAGTAGATATCTCAGAAAAGTCATGAAAATGCCTAGTGATTACATGGGAAAATACAGGGCACTTTAAAATTTTTATTTTTGTAAGATCTGTTCTCTGATTTGTCTCAAAAGGCAGGGTAAACTGGTCATTTTCCCCCAGTCATTTGGAAATATGTTTATGCTAATAGTGGGAAAGGGCTAAATAGAAACAATGGGAAAGCAAATTTATATTCATTTTAGTAGTTTGCTTTATATGGATTCTATATTTTCCTTTCCTTTCCCTTTGTCAGTCTAGCATTGTTTTCTCCTTGTCTTCTTTCATTTTTCCCCACTTCTCCCACTACTAGTATCAACATGGTTTTTTGGCTCCTGGCTTTGATTGCTTTGTTCTTTACTATCTTTGAATTGAATGAGAAAGTTGCTATCTTCTGTAATGTTATTTACGAGTGTCCATTGGTATGAAAACATCTTTGATAAGCAAATTGTAGTATAATAAATCCTTTGTTTCATGTTCCCAAGAGGTAAAAAGTTCTAAGTTTTATTAGTAGTAAAAATACTGGTTATTATAACTGTGTAGGACTTAAAATATTATTTAAGACTTTATATATTATTTGGATAGTTACGGTTAATGTATTTCCAGGCTACACAGTGCAATTTCTATCTACTTCTCTGTGCTACTTACATAATTGGCCTTACCAAAGTAGATAATATGTATCTATCCTTATGGTGTTCCCATATAAAACAGTTGCCGAAAGAATAGCTTCTAGTCCAGTAGTAAGGGCACGTTCTTGAGAACTGCGAACTGTGATTTGCATCATCTCAGGAAGACGGAAGCAGGAACGGAATCTCCTGGTTTGATGTTTTCTCAAAGAGCGTTCTAATCCTGGGCTTTTATATAAAGAATGGGTTTTATCTCTTTTTTGACTGTCTTTGAATGAAAGTAAGTAGTTCCTGTTCTTAGTTTCTGTGCTAAAATTGGTGCTGTCTGTGTACATTTTAAATTCTGAAGATGAATTCTGAAGCGTTCTCAAGACTAAAGCAACGTTTCTGAGACTTCCTGCCTTATGTCTAAATTTCAGTAGAGCTTTGATAGGAGCCTGCTCTGATCGGAGGGTTTCATGCTTGTGCAGATGTTCAAGTTTCAGGGCGTATTTATCACCAAATGAATGCAAATAATATTTGAATTTAGAGACTTTGCGGTACTTGAAAGCATGTTTTTTGAACTGCTCTTGCTAACTCGGATTCTTTTGTGGAAAAGCAAACAGAAGTTGCGTTTACATGAAACTTTTGTTGCCTTTCTTTTCCTAAAAGAAATAGAATTAAGGACATGCCATAGTTTAGTTCCAGAGCATTGACAGTTCTAGTGCATCACGATCTGATGAGATATGACTAAGATGTTCTTGTTTGAAAAGGAGAACGTATATATCGTTACGTGATTTGTTAAGATGGCTGTTTCATGAGTTTTCTGGCATTAACTGAAAGTTGCTGACCTGAGGGACAAAGTGCAGGACCTGCTCCTTTGAGATTCATAGTACTGCTGTACTGCTTGTCACTCCATCCCCTCCTTTGTAAACGAGTAGTGGGCTGCAGCTATTCATGGTGTTTTACTGGTTTCACATGTGATACACCTTTTTTTTCCTTCTCTGAAATTTTGTCCATGTGGATTGGAAGAATTTTTATGTTTTGCTAGGGTTTGAAAGTATGCTACTCCTATTTCTGGTGGAAGGTCCAATTTAATTGTGCATCTGCTGCACAGTAATAATACTCAAAGACAAGTACAATACTTTCCTCAAAGGTTGCCATATGTTCAGAAAACCCAGATGCCAATGGGATATGTGCATCCAGCTGTCTAGCACACACATGGTAGATCTGATACATCCTAAAAAACGTTGGACTGGCACAATGCATGCATGCTAGACGTTCAGGAAGTCCTGGCCTGATATAGTTAGCTTGACCTGAAAGAGGAACTCCCTGTACCCTCTAGTACCCTCATGTGGATTGTGAAGTTACTGCTTGTTCCTTAGTACTGAAGACAACAATCCATTTTGAAAAATATTGTAAAAGCCTGTGAAATTCCTATGAGGAGCAGACTACACTAAAGGTTTCTGTGAACTTAGAGAGAAAAGTAACATTCATCTTGCCAAAAATCTGAGTATATTTAGACATTCAGCTCATCTCTTCTATGCCACTAAGCAGGAAGATCTGGAAAGTCAGTCTTTTCTTTTGTCATGAATTGTATTATAGGCCTATTTTTGTTCAGTTGCACTGTTTACTGGAGACATGAGGTGTTGGTGACAATAATTAAGATCCTATTGTATACTACAAGGAAAGGTAAAGGAAGTGAATAGTAACAAAACAAATTTTAGCCAATACAAAAGCATAAACAATTAATAAAAAAGAGGTAGCAGCTGAATGGTAAAAAAAATTGACAGAATAGTAAGATGTAGGAAGAAGAACAGTTTAGCCGTGAGGAAAAGGGAAAAAGCGTGGAGTATTTTTTATGACATACATACGTAACAGATAAACCATGTAATGAAATACTGAGATCACTGATTCTTTAGATATTATCTCCTTATACTGACTTCTGAGCTTGTCTCTGGCATTGAGATCTGGGAATAAGGACACATCAAGAGCTATTCTATAAATTTAAAGTCACTGTTATAGCAAATAGAAGTATAGAAGTTTGGTGAACATTTTGCAAAATAAAAGTAGGCAGAACAGGCTGCAGTGATCAGGCATTGCAGGCTCCACTTTGTCAAAGCTGAGAAAAATCCTCCCAAATTGGGCTATTTCTAGTAATGCTTTTTGTTTTTATTTTTTATATAATGTTAAAGAACAACTCTCTTCTGGATTGTTTTGTTCTTTGCTTTTTTTCATCATGGGATAAAATATGGGAAATATAAAGCATGAATAATGTGCACTTTTATATTGATATGTACCCCAGCTGGTTTTCCCTTAGGGCTTAACCGTGGCTTCTAGGAGCCTGAGATGCATTTGGGGAGGGAACGGAGCCAAGTTTCTAACTAAAGTTTCTTAACTTTGAAATGTCTGCTGGGTACTGGGAGGAAGAACACAGAGGAGGTGTTTCTTTATGAACAAAGGCACACGCTTTTTTCCCTCGGGGAAGAAATCTTGCACAGAAAATATGAGGACGCAATGCCTCTCCTTTCCAACTAGACTCCTTTGAGGATTGTAAGCATAGCTGGTGGCACCAGTCCTGCTTCACAGCTCCCTTTTGTCAATTCTTTTTGCTCTCTTTGTTTTGCTGTCTTTGTATAACTGTTCATAGACTGGAAAGAAGAAAAGAGAACCTGTGCCAGACCTGTGCTCTCTGTCAGTACAACGATCTTGGAACAGCTATAATATGACTAATTGACAGCATGTTTATAGTTGTAAAATCAGACAAGTGAGCTGCTGGTGGTACAGTAACTTAAGCATGTGCTTAATGTTATTCTTTGTAGAACTGGGGCTGTAAAGTGGAGCTAAAATGCTTAAAAGAATTCCTACTTGTTGCTTGTAATCACAAGAACAAAAGAGTACCGGTATTAGTTAAGGAAAGTCAAGCAAGTTCTGGTGCTATATTGATTTGCTGTAACTGATATATGAACAAAGATAATAAGGGAACTAAAACATTAAAATAAATTATTCAGTTACAAAGATTAATACAAACCTTTTCTTTTGCAATTCAGAGTTGGTACAGGAAACACATACATGTGGCACAAAGAGGAATCAAATTCTGGTTTGATAGCTTCAGGCTTCTCCCTTTTTATATTTTGGGGGTCCTGCCTTTCCTCTTCACCACAAAGCTGGTCAGCTTTTATCTGCTTTAACTTCTGATTTTTCAGTTCTATTGGATGCACACACTTGGCGTAATTTCCCAAATTCCTGTTTGCTGGAATCTGTAGCATTGTAACAAGAGTTTCCAGGTCACAGTTGCAATGCCAGGGATTATCATAAAGACGTAGGTAGTTTAAGACAGGTGTGTAAATAAAAACCTCCTCAGATAAACTCTTAATTTGGTTATGCTGAAGTAAGAGTGTGGTAAGCTTATTCAAACCAAAAAAAGCCTGGCTCTCAATTTTTGATATATCATTCTGTTGTAAATCCAGACTTTTTAATGCTTTATACTTGGAAAACATATTATTCTTCAGTTTACGAATCTTATTTCTTGCTAGCAGCATGTGTTTTAAATCATCAGGCCAATCAGGTGATACAAAAATCAATTTTCTTTCCTGGCAATCTAAGTATTTCTCATGAAGATAAGTGTAGATGTCACAGGGGAGGCCTGGGGCATTGCGCTTAACAGTGCTAGAAGCTTTCCTTAAGGTATTTTCCCTTTCATTGTTTCTCAGACTCCTGTTCCTTGTCTTCCTAAAGTCAGATGCTTTACAGAGAAGAAGTAGTATTATAACAGTTACTGCTTGCATCCTGACATTCAGCTGGCCCCAGTTATTTTCTGTGACAGCTGGAACAGTCGAAATATTTGGATAGTCTTAAGCAGTGTTGTTCAAATCTGAGGAGGCACAGCTGGGGTATGTGAAATCCCTGTGTTGGAAGAAAAGTAAAATATTAGAAAGGATAAAACAGGCACTTGCATGGAGTCTTGTACATAATACACAACATTCAATGAAGTACTCAGTCATCACGCTACTCAGAACTTCACAGATAGTCTGGAATAATAATGTCATAACTCTTTTGTCTTGTGATTGCAGTCTCTGATGCACTGTCATTTATTTTGATTAAGCATGGCAAACTATATCATAAAAGGACTGGTTTCTAACTGATTTTTATTTGGAGATTCTTGTGTATTCAGGAAAAGGGCACTGTGCTGAATCTTTATTGCATTTAAGTTCGACTTGGCAGATCAGCTTGAAAGAGGCGCTTGAGGCTGAGATTTGCCAGCTTTCCAGCTGTTAGCCCACTGGAACACATAAAGGGGCAGACGAAGGAAAGTCATCCAGTGTTACTGTCGCACCCTGGGCTTTTGAGTACTCTGAAGTAACCCCCTTGTTTTCAGGTTGGGCCCCACTTTATCATACCTAGCCCTGCTACTGCCATGTGTCTCCCATGGCCCTTGTCAAGTGGAGAAAGTGGGCTGGATGGCTCTGAGAAAGACCCAGCTAGAGTTTGCAAAAGCATGTGAGTACCAGCAGTACAAGGGAAACCTGCTGGTCCTGGCAGTGGCCTGCTTTTAGGCACCCCCAGGGCTGGCCACCTGAGGAAGGAGAGTATAGAGAAGTCAGCTAGGAGCTTTTACTTTTCCAGGAAAGCCAAATACAATCACGGGGGTTTTAAATTAGGGGAAGACAAGGACTACTTCCTCCAGCAGTGTCCAAAGCTTTCCACAATATTTTTAGAGGTTTTTTCTTTTTTTTTTTTTTTTGGCCTACATTCCCTCCTGAATTCACTGTAGTGCTGCTCTGGACTGCCCTTTTCCCTGCTGTTTTCGGTACAATTTGGCCACCAGGTTGTTTCCTTAGAAACTCTTCCTTTTATATTACCTGATTTTTTTTCCTCTCGCGTATTTCCTGGGTTTTGCTAGTCAGTAGCATTCCTTCTAAAACTTATTTTTTTAGAAATCTTTGTTCACTGCATGGTTTAAATGCTTAGTTACTTTTTCCCTATGAATGACTGTTGATGACATCTCTGCATTATGTCCCATCCTTTTTGGCCTCACCATTTAGGAAGATACTGAATCTCAACTTTGAATGCAGATCATTGCACAGATGTTCTTTCTCTAAAACACCATTCATTTGAACTGAAAAAACTTGTCCCTATCCAGAGGAAAAGTGTTTTCTTAAATCAACTACTACTATGTAAAATCCTTTTGAAAGCAAGACAATTCATCGTTTTTAAACAAATTGGCATACCGGTTTAAGCAGCATCTGGACTGCAGGGCAGATGTACTCTTCATGTGTGTGCAGTTCTAACTCATCAAACAAATGGAACAGACCTGTGTCTGCAGACTACTTCATCCTTCCAGGCCATGTGGCCTGTTGCTACCTTTATCTTTGAAAACTCTTTGAATCATGTCTTCATTCATTCCTATAGTGCTAGTTCTCTATCTGCATTCAGATTCTATTAATTCACAAAGTGATGATATTTGCATGAATGACCTTATCTCTTACATGAAAAATGAAATTTTATGTATTACTTTTTGGCACTTTCGGCTAGTTGGTATAAAGTGATCGTGTGTTTTAATAACTTCCATCATAACTGGGATCCTCTGTGTTGTTTTGAACTGTTCCACAGTTCTGGTAGGTCTGGCAATGTGGTAACTCATCTGTCTGAAACAGGAAAAAAAGAGGAATCTGGAAGAGGAAAGATAATAAATAGCTATGTAAATATTTTTTCCTCTTCTTTTCCATCTCCTGAGTATGAGCTTGCATTTATTACTAGTATTAAATTCTGCCTGCAAACTAAGCTATATTCAGTTATGACAGCAAAATGAACAGTTCCTTTCAGTAGCATTTACGGGCTCACATGTAAAATGATAACTCTATCTGATTTAGTATTAGGGCAAGAAGCATATAGGAGGAATGTCATTCCTTTGGCTTAGCAGCCTTAACGATGATTTTAATTGACTAGGATCTTTTGAATTGTCCAGTCCCTCTCAGCAAAGTCCCACTCTTCAAAATGGCATTGAGTGAAGCAATAAAACAGGATTTCAGTGAGGTCATAGTTTCCCTAGAAAAGAACATATAAACCTATTTTTGATATATGTTGATTGCAATTGAAAACATATATTTGGCTTTCCTTTTTACACACTTACCATCAGAAAATAGTTATTTTAGATTTTTGTATATATTTATTGTAACTATATAAAAATTTCTGATTGCCTTTTCCATATCACATATCTGTATCATGCCAAATTTTTTTCATCTCAGTTTAAACAGATCAGTTATTTCTGAATACTAGGTTAAGGCAGAAAGTATTATAGCATTTAACAAGGGAGTGTTTGCATCTTTACTTTGGAGGCTAGGCTAAAAATGTGGCAGGGGGAGAATGCCCGAAGGGGTGTCAGATATCGGTCTTTCATTATTCTGTGAAATACTGCAGAACATAACTAGGGCTTTTTCTACAATTGGTCTGGCTGCTGCACCTCTACTTTCAAGGGGGAAAACAGCTCATGTGTATAATTGGAGGCTGTTATCATAATGTATGGGTGAGAGGGCTCGATAAGCTTACATAGAAAACTTAATTCTGGCATTTACTAACTCCCAGTTGCTTAATTAGGTAACCTTCTGGTTCTTTTGGTGATACAAGATAAAAACAACTTGATTCATAAGCCAGCCATTAGTTCATGAAGTGTAAGAAGCGACATTTTCTCTGGACTTCTTCTTCCAACTTTGTAGTCTACTTTTGGTTTTTGCGCTTTCTTCTCAGTTATCTGATATGGCCATACTTTCAGGTAGGATATTGGCCCAAGTGGACTGAATCTGCGACAGGAATTCTTATGTTTCTGTGATATTCCAAGAATATGAGCTTTTAATCTTTAATATGACTTTTTATTTTAGGTGAATGTAAAAATTTGCAAGACTTAAATCTCTCTGAATGCCAGGGATTGAATGTAAGTATTACAAACTTTCTCCACATTATTTAATTAATACAGAGAAGGAATGTTTTCTAAAGTTCTTTGGTGATTTGGATACACAAATCATACTGATATAAAAAGAAATTGTGTTCGTAACTAATTAGTTCTATTTGAGAACATTACCATGGAGCTTAATAGGATTTAGAGATACTAAGTGAGGCTCTCATTTGTTTTTTTACAGCGCTAGGAGAAAGTGATATGTTCCGTCTGAATTAATTTTAATAAACAGGCTTCAAAACTTTGCCAGTTTGGGGAAGAATGTTATTGTTATTTTAAGTTTAAAGTTGTCAAGATCAGTACGTTTTAAACCTATGATGTCTCCAAGTTCCTTTATTCATTCAGTAGAACTAGACGTAGCCTCTCAAAATGTCTCACTAAGTTTCTAGATATTTGTGAGAGCCTTTCTGTGAAAGGTGTATAAGTATTATGCAATCACCATTATTTTTATACATTCTTTTTCCTAAAACATTTTCAATATTATATTGCTTCTCTTAACTCTTTTTGATGTTTTTCGTAGTTGTTCTCTGATGAAAAAACGTTTGACTCTTTTAATGAATCATTTCTTAGAAATGACACATATATGCAAATTTTTCTAATAATGAAAATAAAATCAATATTTTCCAGACATTGTGGTTCTTACTAGAATAACGTAATGTATACATCCATGTATAGGCTTTTTGTAGTGTTAAATATATGAACAAATAATTTGGTATAATTAAGTTGTCTTTGGAGCAAATTGTAAGCCCAGAAACAAAGCAATAACCATTGCAGGTTACACGCAGGGTTTAAAAATTACCATCAATTCACTACAGCTCATGAACTTCACATAAAAATGGCATATGATGGTGGATTTAGAGAGATGAGAACTGCAGAGGAGTCAGAAAATTGTAATTTATATACTCAGTTTTGGAACTGCTTTGCATTTGTCTTCATCTCTTTGCTATGTTGATGTTGGCTTTATTGCCAGTATCTTGTTCTCATCGAGTTTTCATAGTTTATGCAATTTTCTTTGCTATATCAGCTACAAGGAAAGGATAAGGATGTCTTATATATATGAGCTCCATTGAATACTGCTGTAGAATCTTCTTTATACTAATGATCATCTTTCAGTCTTTTCACATGCAATATTTATAACATAATACTTAATAGACGATATTATTACAGCAGCGTAATATTTAGAGGCTGTATGCTTCTCAAGGGTCTTGTTTATCATAAGTTCCTGCATCAGGGCAATGAATTAAAGAGGGCCAGGGCTTGCCAAATTGTAAGGCTCAAACACTTTTACATGATTATCCATTCTGTTTGTTTGCTAGTGTGCTTGCTTATACACATTTTGTCCGTATCAGCAGGCACTTTCCTAGATGATGCCTGGGCCTTGTTTGTGGGCTGGCACAGGTTTGGAGTTGTTCTCAGTATGAAGTATAATAGAGCTCACCCTGTTTATTTTGTAGGAAGAAAGTTTAACTATGAGTTGCCCTCTACCAGAAAACACTCCTATTCATTTACTATAGCAGATGAAGCTGGCAAATCAGCTGGTTAAAAATATCCAAATATTTTTTCTAAATATCAAAAAAAGAAGAAAGTTTTCAACATGAAGAAATAAAATATGACATTAGTTGATATTTAAAGATGATAGTTTGTGTTAAACAAACCCTCCAACTGTCCCAGGGGCAAAATCTGTTTATTAGGTGAACCTTATGTATAGATATTTTCTTGACATGTTCAGAACGCCCATTTGGGTCCTAAAACTTGCTGATTGTTTGCAGTTCTCATTTGAATTCACATAAAAGAGATCTTCAGCACCTCCCAGATAAAATGAGGTTCACCTTTTCTTCATACAGAAGAAGAAATTTGCAAATCTTCTTTAAAATGTCTCTTACCTTTTTCACTGATAGCAAATACATTCACTTACCTGTATTACATTAGATGTTTAGCTCGTTGTAGAATCCAAACTGCTTATTTTAAAATATTATTAGAATTTTAATTAGGCTTAATAGGCCACTGGATTCTGTCCCAAGCTAGTAGTAGTAAATTTTGAAGTGGCATGCATCATGTTAAAATTCAAACAAAGCTTCCAGCAGAAAAAAAAAAAAAAGGAAGGACTAAAAATAGTGGAATAACCATAATAAGCTTCAAAATATTCAATTTTGGCAAACTCACAGGACTGATGAAAGCTCATAGATAGGGTTTCATGGGAAAACTGTCTAATTCTCATTTTTCTGAGCTATAATCTTAAAGCCTTCCTAAGTCTGCAGCTCATCTGAAGATCTTGTTATTTCAATGCAGCGTAACTAACTTCCGCATCAACAAGATCCTTGCACAGCACATATAAGTAAACCAAGAAAATCTAATATGTCTGATATAAGTGGAAAGATAAAACAGATATCCTTATTATGCAAAAGTCCCAAATATGATCCTTCTATCACCTCTTATTATGATAAGGTGTGAGTGGGAGTCAAGGAACACGATGTTCTGGCAATTGTTGAAAGGGAATATGCTTAATACTGCTAATATTCCAATGGGTGAAAGACAAAAACCTTAATTAGAGGCATTTTGGCCATATTAGGAAAATTCTGATACCTGACAGTGAAAAAGTGATTGTTCAAAAATGGAAGAACGAGGTGTGGGCTAAGATGACCCACTAAAATCACTTCAGCCTCACTGAGACTGATTCAGATTCTACAATATATTGGGTATATAATAATATAGTGGGTATATCGTTTAGTGTGTCTTTTATGGAGGTAGCTGAAGTTTCTTAAGTTTTTATTCTCATAATTAAACCCATCAATTCTTACTTTCACAAGATCATGATTTTCTGTTTTCATCCAGTTTTCTTCTTTCCTATGAAGTCTTTCATACATATTTTATTGATCTGTCAGAATCATTTGGGTTGAAAGGGACCTCTGGAGACCATTTAGTTCAACCTCTCAGTCAAAGCAGATTCAACTGGACCTTGTCATAAATAACCAAGCTTAGGTACCTTCAAGGATGGAGACTGTACAACCTCGGCAAATTGTTCCAGTTGTTGGCCCTCCTCATGGTGAAAAAGTTTCCTAGTATCTAACTGGAGTTTACTGTATTGCATCTTTTGTCTGCTGCTTCTTGTCCCGTAGCACTTCACTTTCAAGGAGAGTCTGACTATCTTTTCTATGCTCTCCTGTTAGGTAGCTGCAGACAGCAATAGGATCTCCCCTTTAACCTTCTCTTCTTAAGGCTGAACAAACCCAGTTTTCTCCCTGTGCATTGTGCGCTTTAGCCTCCTAACAATTTTGGTGGTCCTCCGCTGGACTTGCCAAAGAATATCCATATCTTTCTTGTACTGGGGAGCCCAAAACTAGACATAGCACTCCAGATGCACTCTCACAAGTGCCAAATAAAGGGGAATAATCACTTCCCTTGACCTACTGGGTATATGCTTTTTGCTAATACAGCCTAGTATGCAGTTATCCTTCTTTCTCGCAAGGGCATATGGCTGACATGTTCAAACTTCTATCTACCAGAACTCTGAGGTCCATGTCTGATAGATGCTTTCTGTCCAGTTAATGTCTAGCCTGTACTATTGCATGGGGTTATTCCACCTCAGATTTTGCATTTGCCTTTGTTGAACTTCGTGAGGTTCCTGTCAGCCCATTTCTTCCAGCCTAAGTCTATCTGAATAGCAGTCCTACCCTCCAGACTACTCCCCCCAATTTGATATTGTCTGTAAATTTGCCAAGGATGTATTCTGTCCCTTCATCCAGGTTGATAATAAAGACATTAAACAGGACTGGCCCCCATATTGACCCTTGAGGGATGCCAGTTGTCACTAGCCAGCAGTGAGGCTTTGCACCATTGACCACAACCCTTTGGCCCGATAGTCCAGACTCACCTTACAGTCTACATACCGAGCCTATATTTTACCAGTTTGGCTATAATGATACTGTGGCCTATGGTGAAGACCTTACTGAAGTCAAGATACACAACAGCTGCTGTTCTCTCTGTATCCACAGATCCAGTCATTTCCATCACAGAAAGCTATTAAATTAGTCAGGAGTGATTTCCCCTTGGTAAATCCGTGCTTGCTGTTCCCTACCATGTTCTTGTCCTTCATGTGCTTGGACATGGCTTCAAGAAGGATTTGCTATATAGCCTTCCTAGGGACCTAGGTGATGCTGACTGGCCTGTAGTTCCCTGGATCCTCCTTCTTGCTCTTTTTGAAGATGAGTGTGACATTTGCTTTTTTCCAATCATCAGGAACGTCCCCTGACTGCCATAACCTTTCAAAGATGGTAAGAGTGAGGCCTCTCAGTGACATAAGCCAGCTCTCACAGCATTCTTAGATGCATCCTGTTTGGTTCTGTTTCTTCAAATGCTCTCTAACATGATCTTCTGCTGTGGTAATATACTTCACTCCTACAGACTCTGCTAGTAGGCTGAGGGACCTGGGAGCCCTGAAGGGAAACCTTAGTAGTAAAAAATGAGGCAAAAAGGCATTGAGTGTTTCAGCCTTGAAGATCAACCAGTTCTCGTGGGCCTCTTTGGCCTCCAGGGCAGTGTTTCACAGAAACACACAGAATCACAGAATGGTTGAGGTTAGAAGGGACCTCTGGAGATCATCTAGTCCAACCTCCCTGCTCCAGCAGGGTCCTCTAGAGCACATTGCCCAGGATCACATCCAGACGGGTTTTGAATATCTCCAGCGAAGGAGACTCCACTACCTCTCTGGGCAACCTGTGCCAGTGCTCTGTCACCCTCACAGGAAAGAAATTTATCCTCATGTTCAGATGGAACTTCCTCCGGTTCAGTTTATGCCTGTTGCCTCTTGTCCTGTCACTGGGCACCACAGAGAAGAGACTGGCCCCATCCTCTTGACACTCCCCCTTCAGATACTTGTACACGTTGATCAGATCGCCTCTCAGTCTTCTCTTCTCCAGGCTGAACAGGCCCAGCTCTCTCAGCCTTTCCTCATAGGAGAGGTGCTCCAGTCCCTTTATCATCTTCATAGCCCTCCACTGGACTTCCTCTCCTGTACTGGGGAGCCCAGAATTTGACACAGGACTCCAGGTGTGGCCTCACCAACGCTGAGTAGAGGGGGAGGATCACCTCCCTCGACCTGCTGGCAACACACTCTGCCAAATGCACCCCAGGATACCATTGGCCTTCTTGGCCACGAGGGCACACTGCTGGCTCATGCTCAACTTGTTGTCCACCAGGACTCCCAGGTCCTTCTCGGCAGAGCTGCTTTCCAGCAGGTCAACCCCCAGCCTGTCCTGGTGCCTGGGGTTATTCCTCCCGAGGTGCAGGACCCTGTTGCCTTGGCTGAACTTCGGGAGGTTCCTCTCGGCCCAACTCTCCAGCCTGTCCAGGTCCCTCTGAATGGCAGCACAGCCTTCTGGTGTGTCAGCCACTCCCCCCCGTTTAGTATCATCGGCAAACTTGCTGAGGGTGCACTCTGTCCCTTCCTCCAGGTCATCGATGAATACATTGAACAAGACTGGACCCGGGGCTGACCCCTGGGGGACACCGCTAGCTACAGGCCTCCAGCTAGACTCTATGCCACTGACCACAACCCTCTGAGCCCTGCCATCCAGCCAGTTCTCAATCCACCTCACCGTCCACTCATCCAGTCTGCACTTCCTGAGCTTGTCTATGAGAACGTGATGGGAGACGGTGTCAAACACCCTGCTGAAGTCCAGGTAGACAACATCCACTGCTCTCCCCTCAGCTACCCAGCCAGTCATTCCGTCATAGAAAGCTATCAGATTGGTCAAGCATGATTTCCCTTTGGTGAATCCATGCTGACGTGGTCAAGCATGATTTCCCTTTGGTGAATCCGTGCTGACTACTCCTGATCACCTTCTCGTCCTCCACATGCTTAGAGATGGCCTCCAGGATGAACTGTTCCATCACCTTTCCAGGGATGGAGGTGAGGCTGACTGGCCTGTAGTTTCCTGCCTCCTCCTCCTTGCTCTTTTTGAAGACTGGAGTGGCATTGGCTTTCTTCCAGTCCTCAGGCACCTCTCCTGTTCTCCATGACCTTTCAAAGAGGACAGAGAGTGGCCTAGCAGTAACATCTGCCAGCTCCCTCAGCACTCGTGGGTGCATCCCATCAGGCCCCGTGGATTTTGTGGGATCCTGTCAAGCAGATCCCCGAGTTAGCCTCAATCTGCCCTCATGTTCAGGTTTTTACTTGTACTATTTGTCTTGCTTTCTCCTCTCAGGTTTTAAACTCCTCAGTTTCATGGTTGCAGCAACCAAGGCCACCCCTGTTCTTTACATCCTTGACAAATTTGTCCTTGTTTATGAAACAAGTTGAGCAGAACATCTCTACTCAGCTCATCAAACACCTGGATCAAGACATTGTCTTCAACATACTCCTAAAATCTGCATTGCTGGCACGCAGCTATATTGTCCTTCCAGTAGATATCAGAGTGGTTAAAGTCTGAGTAGGAGGGTAGGCAATTATAGGGCTTCTTTCAGGTACCTAAAGAAGGCTTCATCTACTTTCTCTTAATCAAGCAGCCTGTAGCAGATGCCTACCACAATGTCATCCTCATAGGTCTGTCCTCTAATCCTAACCAGTAAGCTCTCAACTGGCTTGTCACCTGTTTCAAGGCAAAGCTGCATGCATTTAGTCACTCGTTTGCATGGAGCGCTACCTGTCCTCCTCACCCTCCCAGTCTGTCATTCCTAAATAGCCTATAACCATTCATTGCAGCCCTCCAGTTGTGGTTGCTACCCCATTGCATCTCTGTAATCCTGATGAAAACATAGGTTTGCACCTGTGCACAGACTTCTGATTCCTCCGCTTTGATTTCTCCTCTTTGAATGCTATATGCATTTGCATTCAGGCACTCGAGATGCACCCTAGTTGTGCTGCTTTCATAGGGAAGGTTTGAGAGCTTCCCCCATCATGCTGTTCACCCAGTACTTCCTCACCGCTCCCTGTGCTTTCACTTCTCGTCTCTCTCGTACTGTACCCCTCCCTCTATCTACCTATTTTTATTGATATCAAATTATATATTGAAGGAATTTAGTTCAAAAGTACATATTAACTATCTTCTGTAAGGTTGATTGGTACTGAATTTCCAGCTATCTTCATGGTCATTTTGCCTAACAACTGAAACAGTAAGAAGGTAACCACAACAGGGCAAAAGATACACATTCAACTGTTATATTTCCATGCATGAAAGTGCAGACTTTTTGCCTTTCTATTAAATTGATGTTTATTGTAAAATGATCTTTCTTACTAGCAGATTTTGTTCCATGTGTATTCTAATGAAATGATATATAGAACAATATAGATTGTACCACTTATTGCAGGTCAGTAAAACATGAAAGCCTTAGAACTGCTTAAAACAGATGCTCCATCTGGAGGGCAGAACTAAACAGGAAGCATTCTGTAAATGACACTACTGATTAGAGAAGTGTACCTGAGATTTCAGAGAAAATTCACAAGTGGTCATCTATACCAGCACTGGCTAATGCAAATCTTGCTTTAGCAAAATATTTAAGCATGTGCTAAACCTTAACCATGTGAAAAGTCCGCTGTGCTCCATAGGACTGCGTAGAGTATAATGTTTCCTTGAACTACAGTGTTAAAATTATCCTTCTTGAAGTGAATAAAAGTAGTATCAGTAGTATCAGTATTCTCCTTAGAGGTTTCTAGAAGAAAATCACTTTGATGTATAGCAATTAGTATGATGATATAGAAAAATCTATTCAGATTTTTTTTCTGTTACTTTTTTCACATAAATTAATACAATTATAATTGTATGTACTTGAGGAAATCGTTTTTTATTATTCAGGATGACTCAATGAGACTCATATCAGAAGGCTGTCCATCCCTTCTCTATTTAAATCTGTCATATACAGATATTACTAATGGAACACTACGACTGTTGCCAAGGTAAAATTAATGAGAAATGTGATAGTGTATTTGTTTTGTTCTTGCAGGAAACTTTGAGGCATGTGTTGTAGCAATACTCTTTTTGAGAGGTCTACAGGATTCTGTCTGTTACGTAAAATTTAAAAAATGGCCGATATATTTGACTTAGGTAGCAAATCTTTTCTCTGTTTGTTTTTCTAGTTTAATTAAAAAGGTAAGTTGGTTACCATATATATTTCCCAGAATTTTACAGAAACTTTTAAAAGAACGTGCTAGTCTGAAATTTCTTTGCCATGTCCAATTGCTCATTATGATGCAAGAGGGGTGCAAATTAGATATGTTCATAAAAATTGATTTTTGTGAGAGAGGACTGTGGGTAGGTATGTTATCTGAGCCAAGTACTTACGTGACAATTGCAAAAGAAAGAATTATTCCAAACTCTTCCAAAGGGTAATTTGGAAGATCACTCAGCCAAAGGCAAAGAATTTACATTGTTACAGAGGTTTTAAGTAAACTACCGTTTCTATTTTAGATGTATCCATCTATTAGACTCAAAGACTGCTTGGTAGGTAGAATTACGGCATTAAAAGCTGCTGTGAAAGAAAAGTGAGTGAAATGACATATGTAGTTTTTGAAGATAGCTGTACATTGCTTCTCTTTCCCATGAGGATAACTAATACCTCCCTTTTATCAGCAACCTCACAAAGTCCAGAAGCCTGTTTTTCTTTGAAATCTACATAATATATATTGATTGTCGGTTTTCTCTGCACCGTACCGATGCCTTGTTTCTGCCAGTCTATAATGTCATATCCTCAGTTTACCAACAGTTGATTTGGCAAAGTTTTCCATTTAGTCTCTCCACTCTTACCATTCATTTCTTCTTCAGTATGTCTCGTCAGAATCTATGATGTTTTCTCCATATTGGCAGATATTTTGTCTTCTTTAATTTCAATATATTTCTGCTGAAGTTAGGAAAAGCTGTAATCCCATCCTATGTTGTTTTGGCTATGTAAGCATCCTGTTAACACCAAAAGCCAGAACCATGTTTTTCTTTCGATGTGTAGAAAGCACTTGCCCAAAGAGTTCTCCAGAGTGGATGATGCTTTCAGTGTGATAAAATGTTTAAAATGAATTGGAAAATTATTCATTGATAAAAACATCAGAATTTATTTTGTACTTAACTTGCACCTCATTAATAATGAGTTTTCCCATTTAAAATTATAATATACCACTGTTTTTATTGAGAATTTTTGGACAAAAAGCAAAGCTGTTTTTTTTTGAGATTAACAGGATGTACAGAACGTTGCTCTCCTGTGAAGAATTTGATAGCAGACACATTTATATGCCTTCTCCAAAAACATCAGCTTGCCACAGGTCCAGTATAAATAAATAGCCAGTACAAAATTCTTAGAGGTGGTAGTGTTGTATTTTTCAGTATTGCACATAAATTTTGCTGTTGTATATTAAATGTCCATTATTGGAACAATTAAAAAGTGATGTACAGATTGAATGAGCTGAAAGCTTTTTGGTCATTTAAAATTTTCTGCTTCTACTGTTCCATACAAACATTTCAACCTTTGTGTTACACAACAGAGTTCTTCTGGTACAGTTTATCCTCTGAGAAGTTCTGAGGCATATGGTAGACATGAATATCGTCTATCAGGAATAGCTGTGAGAAAGTGATTTTGTCAGGTTGTTTTAAAACAGTGATCCTGTGACTGTTAATGCCGAAATAATTGCACAGGTCAATATGACAGAATTCCTGCAGAATTTAGGTGCGACACAAAACAAGGATTTATAGCAATCTGTGCTCTCACGCTTAAGATCTAAGAAAGCTGTTACTTTAAGAATGGCAGAAAAAGTCATGTATTAAAATTCACAGATCATAAAAAGGGTCATGTGACATGTAAAGAAAATCAGTGTTTTTTCAAGAGTAGTGGAAGGTTTTGATCACAGTCTTCAAAATGCAATAAGAAAGACTTCCCAGTATGTTGTCTTAAGTTGTTTAACCTTGAACAGTTTAAAAAGACTTAAAACTGCCAGAGCTTAAAAAACAGTCTCTTATTTTACTACCTGTTTTGAGAGAGCTGTTTGGAAGCGTCCTCTCCCTGAGTTTCATTCTCTCCGCTCACTTCTGTGGAATGTGTCACTAAAATGCAAGAAGACTTGTGCTTCTGCAAAGAAGTACACTTATATTTCTGTATTGAATAGGAAAGAAACATTTGCACTAAAAAATTGCATGCCCTTTTATTCTAATATGTGGTTTTGATGCACAATGCCTTTCTTGTTTTGTTTTCTTTCATTAAATATAATCTTAAATTTCTTTGTGTGTGTGCGTGTGTGTGTAATCCTTTTCTAGTGTTGTTTTCCAGCTTCCTATCGCTCTCTTTTTTTTCTGTTAAGTCCAAGTTAGCACGTTTCCTCACTCAGTACTGAAAGTAGAAAGTCAGCTCTGCAAATCTATGCCACTCCTTAAGTAGTTAGCTCCTCTGCGAGTGTTCCTGTCTTTCTTCAAAATGCCTACTTTTGCTGACTTGTGGAACTGCTTGACTGTGTCCATACAACTAAATGTCTGCCAGTATGTCCTAATTCTAGGTTTTGATGTTCTGTATGCTTTCATCTGTGGTCCTTGTGGCATTGCAGTGATTATTTATTCCAGTTAGAAATTTCAGTAAAATGTTTTCAATATGTTATAAACCAAAGCTGCAGATAGAAACTTAAATAGATTCAGGGTATAGGTTCTTAACTTTTAAAGAGTGCCGTAGATGTACACAGTGCCATGAGTATTTATATAGTTTGCTTTTTTTAAACTAATATTAAGTATAAAAAAAGACATGTTTTCCAAATTAAGTGATTTAGACTTTAGAAAACATGGGTTGATTTGAGATATATATACGCACTTCACTTTCGCACCTCTTTCAATTTTTCAGTTTATTTTAATAGCACTTGTCTAAATAATTACATGACCAGAGAAGGTCTAACTGTGCATTTATGCTTTTAACATCCTTTGACAGAGTTCTAGTTTTCATTTCTAGCAGGCACTGCTTGTAAAATCTGTGGCAAAGTCAGTCCAGCAAGCTTACACTGGAAAGTCTGTTAGTTTTCAAAGTATGCAGACAAAATCCCAGTTAATTTAAAAAGAAGTGTGCTTTTGCAATTATTTGAGATATCTTTAAAATGATATTCTTTTAATACAGTTAAATACGATGTGTAATAGTACTACTCCCCAGTAATTTGCAGTGCATGGAACAGAGGGAAAAGTGCAGCAGAAAAAGAGGCTTTCAAACATCAGCAAGAAAAGAATTCTGTTTAAAATCCAACATCATTCCTTTACATTGATTTTCAAAGTATTTCAGCTATGGTTTCTTATTTTACTTTGATTCCGTAGCATACTTTTGTAATAATTTGTTCTCTGTTTTGTTTTTTTGCAAAGGAGCTTCCCCAATTTACAGTATCTGAGTTTAGCTCACTGCAGAAAATTCACAGACAAAGGTTTACAGTACCTGGGCTCTGGAAAAGGATGTCACAAGCTCATCTATTTGGACCTTTCAGGTTGCATTCAGGTTTGCACTTCATGTCTTTCTTTCATTCTGTGAAGAAGAGAATCCTTTATATGACTCGCTGCATCCTGCATTCATGGTATGCTGAAGGAGCACAAGCACTGCAGCAGACTTTTGAGGGTTTTGAATTACATGACTACAGCTGTTTAAATTCTACTGAGGAATAATAGCACTATAGGTTTGGATCATTTCCAAAAACCGTCAGATCTGTGAACAACTAGTACTTACTGCATAATGAAAACAAGGCTTGCTTTTTGTAGCCATAAATAGACTAATTCTGTGTCATGATTAGCTAGAATTTTAAATCAGGCACTTTGAAAATGCTATTTTTGCTCAGATATCAAAAATCAAAAGCCACTGTGCACTGGAGAAAACAAATTTGCACATGATTTCCTGGAAAGGAAATCAATTAAATAGTGAACTTTTGTTACTATTTTAGTGATTTAAGATGTAAATTGAAGTAGCGTACAAAACTGCAATCTGAAAATAGTTAATATTTTCGATTATTTATTTTAGCGTTCTATTAACATTTTGAAGAAAGCTAATTTTTTACAAGTCAATACTGTTTTAGAAAGTTTCAAACATATACTGTATCTTGAAACATATTTCAAAAGCAATATAAAATGCTGGGCAGTAAGGCAATAATAGTCTGCCAATGTTTTAACAAAGGGCTCCCACACATTTTCCTTTATAGACTGAGAGGATTTTCCAACCTACAAAATGTATGTATGTGAAATGATAAAGAGATGGGGCCTAAGGAGTCTAATGGTTTAATTTTCCATCTAACAAAACCTTTTCAGAACTAGAGTTGAAGGCAGATAGGGAACAGTCTTTTCTAATTGCTGTGTGCTTTGAGTGCCTGTTTCTCGTGCCTGAGAATTATGCTGAGAAGACTGGAAGTGTTGTGTAGTGACAATGTGAAATTTGAAATGAGTGCGGAGGTTATCTGCCTCTGAGTTAATTTTTCAAAATACCCATAATTGGTTACTTATTATGACCTGTAAGGATTTGCCTCTGCAAAGCATGGTCTAGTACTAGAGAAAACTAATCCTCATCAAACTAGGAAAACCGCAGTCTTCCCCTTTCCAGAGGAGTGGAGTGGTTTTGCTTACCAGTATATTTGAAAGCTCTGGAAGGCGTTCCACAGCTTCCTCCATTTTGGGTTTCCCCTGACTCTGCAATAATGCTTAAATGGTCATGACTGAATACTTAAGTAAACAATTGAAACCAAAGAGAGCATCAAATTGCACACTGTTGCAGAAAGTGTGTTAATAGGACAGAATTCATTTTCTTTTCCTCAGTGGATGAGCTAAATCGAAGGGAACTTTTGAAAGGCTAAGGCTTCAGAATTAGCTAGAGACATATAGTGAAATTATAGTATAAGCATTTAAACGGTATTAAACAATATTTGCTAGCAGCCTGTTCTTTCCCTCATTTTAACATTACAGTTCTTTTTCTATGAGTACTTATATAGCCATTGTTACTGTAGTATTTGAATATCTATTTAGAAGGCCTACCTATAATATGGGTGATTATGCTAGCGATCTTACTGGTGGAAACTTGAGGGCTAGAGCATTTAAATAACTTGTTAAACATACTCAGGCAGAAAACTGGGAACTGAGCGCACAGTTTGTAGTCCATTGTCATACAACAAGACAGTCTTTCCTCTGTTTGAGTATTACTTTGATTCATGACAGTAATATCAAATGAATTATAGGTATGGATCTTTTGTATGAAATTTCAGTGATTAAGGATGGGTGCCTATAGCAAGGATAGTAAAGATTTTCATTAAAGATTGTCATGATATTTCCTAAAAGTATAGAGATTCTATTGTGTCCTGCTCAAAATTCCTGTTACACCACTGCTATTCTCAAAGCAGTATCTATAAAGTATAAGATTTCTTATCTGTGCTGCTTCTGAATAGATGGAATATTTCCTGCTATTAGTCACAAAACTGAAGAGATGAAAAGGTATAAAAGATTTGCATGTCATTTGTTGACATACTAGATTGAGATTATACAACTATAAAAGAGACTATGAGGAGAGATATTTTCAGTTAAAATAGAAACATGAAGATTTTTAAAGAAATTGGATTTTTTTTTAAAAAAAGGTTGGTGGGGGGGGTGTGGGGGGGGGAGGGTGCCAAGATCTATGGCTTACTGATTTTCAAACTGGCCCAAACTGTGTTAGAACAGCTTGTCTGCCGCTGTAGCTTACAACAGCTGGCTGTGATTCTTAAAAGATCACAAGTGACTGGAAAGTAATAAACATAACCCTTTCCTTCCTTGACATGCTGCAGTCATTGGAAGGTGTCAGAGAAGCTATTGGCAAATGTGTAGGCTTCACCAGCTTTCACCATCTGAGCGTTCCTCCGGCTCTGGCTTCATTGGAAGAGTTCTCATTTTGGCAGCTGCTGTCAAATTCTGGCTTCTTTACACATACTAAGCAGCACAAAGGGGCTAGCACTTGGTGAGAAACTCTGAGCCATGATTATTATTTAGCAAAGCAATTGTTTACAGTTCCCAATTACAAACTCATGAAGTGAAGAATACTTTATTATAAGGTACACCTCCACTGGTCTATATTTTTAGAAATATGTTAATCCAGGAGTATGTCAATATGAGCTTTTTTGGACAGAGGAAGATTAAAAGAAAAATGATATCTGGAGGCAAGCCATCAGAATAATATGGCAAACATCTGAAATTTGTTTTATTATTTTTGACAAATTGGGAATAAAAAAGATGATAGCCCCTTGTATACCACAACAGTGCTTCCTCAGTCTGAATACTGATTTTCAGGTTTCTGTATCCACTGTGCATTGTTTGACTATACTATATTAGAATAATAGAACAGTGCCTCTTCAAAATTCCTTCTGTGCTGCAGAAGGCTTTCTTTCTTGCAGGGTGGATTCCACAAAAAACACCCAGTTCAGGCAAGAAATAAGGGATTTTAAAGCAGAACTGTATGTGAAACAGATGAGCTAAAATCTGAATAAAAATTCTGTGTGTTCTTTTTCCTTTGGAACTAAGAAACTATACAAAAAGTTGAACTGAAATGAATTTTGACATTCCTACAAACATTTCATCATTTCACTGTGTTCATTTTCTAAATCTATGGGGACAGATCTTTAACTGTGTTTGTTTCACTATACTTTCTTTTCAGATCACGTTATATTAACATGCAGTTAGGAAAAAAAGAGGCAGTCATTTATATATTCAACTGAGAAGTTCTCCCAGACAAGGAATTGTTTTTTATACAAGATCATCACAATGACTTCTGATCCTTTACTTGGAATGAAAATCATACATTTATGAATTGATC